GTAAATAATCAGTCCCAGTCCCAGTAAACAAGCCCTATATTACTCCTCTTTATGAACAATTTTAAAGAGGGTTTTGTGTCTCTGCTAATTGAAGCAAAGCTTTCTCTGCCTGGATAGGAACATGGATCCAATTTGGTGTAGTTATGAGTTCAGGCCTGGAACTCAGGAAAACTAGGTTCAGTCACTACTATGACATGAAGATCACTGTGAGGACAGTCACTGCCTCTCAGTTTAACATACTTCACAGGGTTGATGTTAGGAGGGCAGGGTGGAAAGAAGGAGGACCTTGAAGACACCTTGGTTTGCTCGTAAGAAGAAAAAAGGTGGGATATAAATACGACATCATAAGAATGGGCTTTGTCATGGCCTTTAAACTTTACCAAACCTTTCAAATTTACAGGGCTTTTACATTTTTAAAATCTGACAAAACAGTTTCTGGAATTGCTTATGCTTTTTCTTTTACTTTTGTTCTTTTTTCTTTTACTTTTATTATTGCTGATAACTGTTTATATTGCATAAAATGTTATGCAACATTTTATATTTATATTTTATATTTTAAGATGCTATGGAACATTTCAGATGCATCTTAGAAACAGAAACACAGTGACTCAGAAGGGGCCTCCTGGGCCATCTAGTCTAACCCCTGGTTCAGACAGCTCCACTCATGCCTTCCTATCTTGTGATGGAAATATTTATTAAAGACCATTCTTTAATATTTAAGAACCTGTGTATTCTTTCTAATTACCTAATCATCTCTTAGAATTAAACACAAGATCAATGAAATGGATTTTATGCATCCTTTGGACAAATAAAAGAATACTATTACTGCATTGGAAGGATAAGTGGCCACCTCAGATAAATACCACAATGGTGGAAGATTTAATGACATATTCAATTTTCATGCTATAGGTTTGAAATACAAAGGAATAAATATATGGCTGTTTGAGACATAATTTTTAGAGTTTGATATTTTGATCATTCCTAACTGTATTTAGGGGTGTTTGAACTGGGACCTATTCTGACCTGAATTCTGCTGATTTCGATCTCCAACCAAAGTGTGGCTGCTCCAAAGGAGACTGAGTCTGAATTCTGCTGAAGCTTCTTTCAGCTTGGAGGGACCCAGAGACACAAACCGTGTTTACCAATGCCAATGCATTTCTCCGATATTTCATTTCATATAATGAAAACACTAAGGTGGGAAGTGCAATTTCTATGATATTGGTGACATGTTGTTCAAAGTGTTTCGCTTAACTTTCAACTAGATGGATATATCGTGTCATTAAAAATTGCAGAATATATAACATCGATTCAGTAAATCACACCATACAGTAAATCACACCAAGCATTTAATTGCTCTGTTTTCAGAGTTAGACACATGTGGATGCGTATATGTTTGCGCCAAGTTTCTGTGCAAAAGCCAATGTGGTCCTACACAACAGGTATCCATTTCACTTGCTTTTATCCCCATGAGGGTTCTTTTCATCTTTAGCACAGATGGCAATATATCTAACTGATTGCCAAATAATATTTTGAAACAAAAATAGCCTAAATATATTTGATTTAGTTGATTTGGCAATTGTGTGCCAAATAATCTTGCAAATGAAGGAAACAGAACAGGATGAAGCATTTACATCATTTCATAGAAATAACACTGACTGGCATCAAAGCAAGATCCAGTTAGAACAGAGTCCTATGGATGTTTAAATGGAAAAGATCCTTACAGTTCCCAGCATTCCACAGCCAGCTGCCTGGAGAATTCTGGGAGTTGTAGGGCTGTCTGGGAAATGCTGGCATCTATTGGACTTTTTCTGTATAGAACTATGCCCTTAAAGATCATTAGTTCTCACTTCTGGATGAGTCAAGTCAGTCCTTAGCTTATCATGTGTGAATTCCTCTTATCCCTTACTACTTGGTTCTGGCATTGTGTATGATCCCAGAAGCCAGGGTCAAATGACTTTGTTGGTATTGCAAGTGTCTATGTAAATTACAGATGAAAACACACATGTGAAGAAATTCCATATATATAATGTTATCTCATGTTTCATCTTTGTGGCCCCTCAGAGGCAATCATCTATCCAAATAGGCCTGAGGCTAGGGTTGTGACGATCTCCAAAACCCTGCTCTCTTCTGCTTGTCAGACTTCCTTCTCACACTCAGCCCTTCCTTAGGAAGAGGGATGAGCCCAGATGAAGGCTATGAATGCTCACACATGCTAGCAAAACTTCTGTTTGTGCAACCCTACAGCCCTCCGCAGCAAATGCAGCACATACTCAAAACCTACACATTACATATGTGGAAGAAGGACTCTGTTGTGCAATGGGTGCCAGGCAGACACCCACACAATGCTCAACACACCTGGCACCAATTTGGACTTAGGGATGGAAGAAAGTGGTCCAGGAGGCTGAGCTGGGGGAATCTAGAAGATATGCACCCCCAAAATGGATTCTTCACACATTCTTACCTGAGGCCCTTCTTTATTGCTGTGAAAACCTGTGTAGCAATTCCTCAGTGATGTTCAAAAGTGTGTATTGGGGGTGGGGGGAGCAGGATAGAGACTATTGCTTTAGCCATTCCATGATGGAGCCTAGATAATTGGCTGGGGATACTACCTAGATATAAAATAAAAATCTTTTTATTTACCCGACATTTTAATATTTAAATTTTTAACTACTTTTATTCTCATGCTTAGCCACATTCTATCTTATTTATTGCATTCTACCTTTTTATTGCATTATGTGGATTGTACTTTTTCTGTTTATTTATTGTTTGTTGGATTTTGTTGGAAGCCATCCTGAGACACTGTTAAGGACGGGGTAGAAATGCTGCAAAGAAAGAAAGAAAGAAAGAAAGAAAGAAAGAAAGAAAGAAAGAAAAGGAAAGGACATTGTGGAGTTGACAGGACAGAGTCAATCAGTGAAGAGTGAGGGAAAAGGTTCCCTGGTGTTCACACTGTAGAAGCACTGGAAGGGGAGTATTTGAATAGCTAAAAAATAAATAGTAAGCTAATTCTTTTTCATGGGATAACCATATATAACTCTTGCAGATAAGAAGCAGGGAGTAGATGGCTGTGTTATTATACAAGACTGCCTAAGACATTGTCCAAAGAGGGTAATAAGCAGGCATTCAAACCCAGACAAACAATCCAAGCAAGAGAAACACAACAGGAGAAATATTGGGAGTCAGAAGAAGACCACACTGTGTGTTAATTTGACTGTGGCAGAAGTTTAGGGAAATTGAGCTGAAGAATAGGAAGTCTTAGAGGCTTGTAACAGCAACAGTGTTTTCTAAGTCTTTAAGCAGTACCAGTAAGCATTCTTTTGAAACCCCCAGAGTAAATTGGGAAAAATTAGCAATTCCTTTATGACCAAGATATCTCTTAATAAACTAACTTGTTTATTTTGTCTCTAGTATTGGTGCCTATCTCATGCCTACAACTCTTATGCCAAGTTATTAGGAGGTTTGACAAAATTATTAGAAAACTGGTGTCATGGGAGAAGAAGCTGCTTGTAGAACTCTGAACTATAGCAGCAGAAAGTTCCTTTGGCCCTGCAAAAAAAAAAAGAAAAAGAAAAAGAAAAAGAAACTGCATTGGTGGGACTGCCCAGGAAGGAGAAATTTTTAATTAGTGTGACAGTGCTGAAGACACAATCCCCCATAAATGACTAAGAGGATACATTCCTGAATGTTTCTATTAAAACCCTAATAGAACTCTGATTCTTCCAGTGATTTTAGGAGAATACTTCATCTCGCTTCAACCCATGCCAAAACTTTACACCTACAGTGCACAAAATTGAAGGGGGGGGTAGCTGTAGAATTAGTATGGGACACTTGTTTGCTTCAAGGGGTTGCACACAATATCCTGGGTTTGCTTGGTTTTTTTCCAGGGTGCCTTGTACTCCTCATTTTACTGATAAAAATTACTCAAAAACAGAGGAAGCTGCTCTGTGGACTTGCTCCGTGAATTTATTCAGTCTAGTTTGCATTAGATGTCCTGCTATCTGTTCACTATAGGAATGTACTTTACTCTTTGTCCTTGTTTGCCTGTGGATTGAAGCTACAGATAATATGAAGAAAGCCAGTATGTATGTATGTATGTGTCTATAGAAAGTATGTAATTTCAAGTATTATTCCATTGCATTGTGGTATGCTTCTACACCAAACTTAGCTGCACAAATGTTTCTAAAAGTCAATGTCACTCAAAATGTCAATTCAAATATGCAAATGTTGGTATCTTTACATCATTTTATTCCACCAAAACTGTATTGCAGTCTTCCAGTCTTTTATATTTACATTATTTGCAACTCTTTCCATAAGTGCCAACATGGATGTAACTGATGAGAATCCAGAACAGCTTTACAAATGTACAATGTGCATTTCTGAGCATTTTGTTCTGATGTGCAATAATATATATACTATGTAGGCATATATATTACCAAAGCTTCATAATATAAAATACTTTCCACAAAAGTAAAACATCTCTCTTGCAGCTTATTCAGATTTCAATTACAGAGACATCTGCATTTCAAGTTAGTGCAAATAATGAAAGTAAGAGCCTGAGCAAAATGGAGTACATAAAATGAAACAAGAGAACAGCAAACACTAACCAACTCCCTGTATATTATTATAACATTTAATTAGTATATTATTAGTAGTCTTTATATACAATGTATTTAAATAAATTGACTTATTTAAGCTATAGGCAGTATATTTACAAATTCAAATAAAATATGTTTCTTATGCACAAATATGGAATGTTCCATGTATATGAAAATAAAATGCATCTAGTAGCAAAACAATGCTGTAAATCAATATGGACAAGATGTCTTCTCTATTGTCTTGGGATAGATTTCAAGGCACTTTCTCGGCAAACCAGAGTTCAGTCTTAGCAGGAAAATCTACAAGGTCAGTCATCATATTCTTGTTTACATACTTCCACAGTGATTCAAACATGATACTGTCAGTAAAAATTGAAGTTCTTTACAGGGACATGCTTACTGAAATAAAATACACAAACCAAACAAATTAGACAATGTTCCTTTTCAGATGATGGTCAATATTCAGTGCATACATGGAAGGAAGAAAATTGATATCATCTGCTGGCCCCAACCCAAGCCACGATCCATTCAGTTGAAGATAAGAACAGAGCCAGTGCATATACAACCAAATGCACATTCAACTGTCCCCAGACATTTGAGAACCCTAAAGAAAGCAGGGGCCCAGAATGCCGAGAAGCAAGTTGCATATATAGTTGTATGCATGTGGATTTTATTTCAATCATCAAATGGACAAATGTAGATTAGTAGTAGGGCATATAGTTATGATCCTTCTGCCTAGTTAATAAAAGAAGTCTGTATTTTGGTTGCCAATGCAATTGTATGCTTCAGGTGCTAATAAATGTTTCCTAAGACTAACCAAAGGAGAGTTTTTGTTGTTATTGTTCACATTGTCCACACTATTCCCCAGACTCTAGTGTCATGGTCTGAAAATGGTGCTGACAACATATTTTATTATTTAAATCATTTGAGGTTGTGTTTAAAATTGAAATGATGGATACCTTATTTGTATCAGTAGACTTCTCCATGGTCCTGAAATAGATGCAGAAGAAAGCCACAGGAACAAGCTTGTGATAGAATTGGGGTGGCGGGGGAACCATCTAAATCAGCTTTTTTCAGTAGCGATTTGCCAGTCATAGTGACTATTGCCCTAGCTGGGTGGGAGTGGCAATCAACCATCCTGTGGGAATGGAGAGATAGCCCAGCAATGAGAAGTGGGGGTGGTAGATGACAAGAACTCAGATCTTCCAATGGGAGAATGGGAGGTGGTTTCAGGGTCTGCCCAGGGCATGCACCAAGTGCTGAGTAGTCTATCAAATGTAAAAGCCCCTCCCTCTAGGAGGCAAAACAGGATCGGAGCTATGGGAGAGGAGGAGACAGGGGAGGAATGGCAGTGCCTGGCCTCTGAGCCAGCAATGGAGAAAGTCTCTTAAATGGGATGAAGATTGAGGGGATGGCTCAGAGAGCATTCAGCACTTTACTCTGGGTGTATTCAGAGGTGTTTGACCAAAAGGACGTGTAACAATAAAGCATGGAGAAAAGGAACTCCGAAGCAGTGTGTTGACTCAAAAGGACCACACTTCATGGCACCTATCTCTTTTCCTACGTGCTGAAGGAGAGGTGGGAGCTGCTGTATTTACAATACTTCATGGAAATACAATGCAACATGGTACCAAGATCCAACCCCAGCAAGGAATTGGGGAATTCTTCCTTCAGCAACTGTACTACAGCACAGGGAGCAGAGAAGGGATGATTGATCCCTTTGATCTCTTTGCACTCTGAATTTAGCACCAAATTCAAGGTTCTGTGTTTTTAGAGAGCATAGCATTAGGCTCATAACAGAAAGGGGGAAACGGTCTGAAAGGAAGAAAGGCTATCCACTCAATGTATCTCAGGGCAGCCTCCTGAACAACATATGGAGTCAGCTTGCCAAGGTCAGAAAGTGGCCTTTCCCAGCTCTGTTATTTGAAATTCTTTCTTGGAGGCTGAACTTGGTAAGTATGGACCTTGCCAAATACGCTCATTTTCCATGCATTTAACACTGCAGCAACACTGATATCAATTTAAGTAAAACTATTTATTATTTATTAATTACATTTCTAGCCCTCCCATGAGCCAAAATGACTCTCTGGGCATACAACACAAATATATGTTTGTATGTGTACACCTCCCCCATAATTCATTTTTTTGTAAATTGCATATATTCTGCATATATGCAAACTACATGTGACACATGATATGCATCTCATCTCATGTCTCTTTTCAGAAATGCAAATAGCAAGCTCAGGCTTTGGACAGAGAAGTGTAGTTTGCCTGTTTCCCCATGCTACCTTGGTCCTGATAAAAATTGGCTCTCTGAAGCCACTGTTGGCATTGGCAGGTGATCACCTCCTGGTGTTAAAGTTTCACTCCTGATGCTTCATTCATTCATTCATTCATTGCCAGGCAGGGGGAGTATTTTCTTTGCAACCATGGCAGGAGTCAGACCCTCCTTTTTCTCACCTTATAGTCTTAAGCCAAATAGGTTATTTGCTACTTGTGTTCCATGTGTGGATGTACTTGTGTGTGTGTGTGTGTGTGTGTGTTGAGAGTGGGGAATGGCACACACATGAAAATGTGGTGACATTTATGTCCTTTCTCTCTAACAACTCTGCCCTGCATATTGCGCTAGATGGCTTTTTCATCTGCCCAGTGGCAGTGCTTCACTGAAAAAAAGACAGGCAGGTGAAGGATCAGGTTAACACATATCCTGATCTCTCTGGTCTTCTATTCCCTCCACACACTGCGACAGTCCCATCCCTGCACTCTGAGATTGCTCTTCTGACTTGGAAGGGCAGCCTGCATGGTTCTTTCTACACAGATAAAGAGGGGCCAGGGGAATGGGAAGAGGTCTCCAATTCCCCCTTCTGAGATCAAGTGCTGCCTCAGACTGTACAGCAGGGGAATCCTCCATATCCTATGGGCCCACAGACAATATTTACGGCTCCCCATGCTAATGAGGGGCAAAATAGTTATGAGTCAATAAAAAGTATGCAAATACATTACAAATTTGCAGTTCTTAAAATTTGTTTACAAATGCAAATATATTCAGTTACAAATACTTACATAAGCAGCCTCCTAAGGCTGGGTACACAGTGGGCTCATTGCTAACCTTGTCAGCAGTCTTGCACATCTTTTATAATCTATTTAAATCCACAAAACAAAGATGTAAATTATGATGTGTTAAAGGTCAAGTAAATAATTCCCAGAGAGGAAATATCATCTTATTTTTCATCAGTTGCAAAATGTTTATTTATTTCAATATATATAAATTATATAGATTGCGATGTGATCACAATAGCTTATTTAATCTTATCTTTTCAGTACAAAGACATAAGTACTTATCATTGCAGTATTAATGATTAAGAGACAGTTAAGTAAGAAATTCAGAACAGAAATATTGCAGCAACTTCTGTGACTTCAGCACACTTTAGTTTATGCCTGATGACTGTGAAACTAGAAAAATCCTGAAGCATTTTAGCATTATAAATTAATATCAAAGAACTTGAGGCTCTGCTTATGTGATCCTGGGTTGAAATGTGGGTTGAGTTTCACCATGCAGTAGAAGCTATATAATTATTTTATAATGTGCATAAGCTCCTGATTTTTAATGTGGGTAGTTTTTACCCCAACATTGCAAAAGCTTTCAAAAGATGGTAAGATAATAACATTTTTGTGCCAAAGAAATTGGACAATCATATGCCCACTTGAAGGTAGTCTAATACTAGACTCAGTCTCAACTCATAAAAATAACCAACTTTTAGGATCATGCAAATTGTAGGTTAACTCCTTCACAATCCCAGTATACGTGGCATAGGACACCTGTCTGTACATTATCAGTTAAATTCAAATTCAGTTAAATTGGCCTCTTTACAGGATCCCATTATAAGTATTGAATTGTAATTTTTATGATTTATTTGCTCTGTCTTATGCTGCCTTTTTTTCAAAGGGTCCATGGCAGCATGCATGATTTTCCTTTTTTTTCATTCTGTTCACATAACAATCATAATTCAGACCAGGTGGATAGTTGGCTGCTTTGACCCTTGAATGGTTTACTCTGTAGGCTTTAGCTTCAAAGAAAGTAGAAGACTCTCAGCATTTCTCAAAAAGAACTCCTTGTCTTGTAGAAACAAGTCCAGATAATGGAATTGACCCATTGAAAATTATCTTAATCCTGAACCTTGAAGAGTTAGAAAAACATTAATCCATATAACTCATGGCCATGCACCATCAATAGTTTGTACTGTGGTGATTAGATGGTACATTTCTCTTCCCAAGCTGGCTGTTCCAGTAGAATTCCTCAGACAACTTCTATTTAAAGATCAAAGTTTTCCATTTATTGCCTTAATAGGAAATGTTTTTCTTAAATTACATTTTAATAGCACCTTGTCTTGTACCCACTGAGCTCAAACAGGATTTATGTCTAAGTAAAACAGCCAGAATACAGGCTGCTACATTTTAGTGATACAAACATTCATTTCTAGTCTTGAATGATGTCTCCTGTCAAAGTATTTTGACAAAAATTGCCATCCATCTTCTAAGACAGAAACAGAATAACCCCTGACATATCTCACACATAATGCAAGTGGATTTTAATATGTATGGCAACAGCGGATTATACTGTGATCCTTATTGAGGGCCTTGGAGCCCCCAGGTGGCAATCTACAGATCCTGGCAGGGTGGGTAGGCATTCCAAATGTTGGGAAGCAAATGGGCATTCAAGTTTTGGGGATTTTAGGCAGCACTTCTTCCACTCCTGCAATGGAGTCTGACAGCCAATGGAGAAGAATTGCTGTTTACAATTGCTCACATCAACTAGAGTTTCAAACCCTTGCTGATAGATTTCTCCCTAAGCTTTCAAAAGTTGGAATGCATGAATGGGTAACCAAACAAGAATGACCAGTTCCTGCTTTGGGCACAAAGCAATAAAAAGTACCACTTTTGCAATTAGGTTAAATATGTTTGATGGGCTTTCATTAAAAACAAAAAACAAGAAGGGTCATTGTAATAGCAACAAAGGATGCTTTCAGATGGATTGCTCTTGGTGCTACCTATTGAAATAAATTGTACAGTTATTCGATCTATGCTTTGCTAGCAGCTTTTCTGTGGCAAGTGAAAAGATGTAAGAAGCAATAAGGAAAAGAAGGGAGGGTTACAAATGTCAGATAACAATTCATGGGTTTTCCAATAGATTCTGTGAATGAAGCACAACAATAGCATGCCAAAATAAATCAAAAGACAAAGGAGAAGCAAGTGACACTCAGGCTTATATAAACCTATCACTAAGGAGTACGCTGATGACCATCAGGCACAGGAGTTTCATTGAATGCATAGACTTGTGTATGGAGTCATTTAAATAATCAGAAATAAGTTGTTTAGACAGATATTTCTTGACCTATTTTTAACTTGCGGTGGGGTAGCATATTCGATACTAATGTTGCCTGTTTGTTGGGCAACAGTAGATTATGGTTGGAGGTGTAATATGCAGCCAAATGGTGTTGCCACATGTATTTTGCCAAACTTGCACTCCATATTCAAGGAGGGCCACGGAAAATACTCTGGTGCTACAGGCTTATTCATTCCTAGTTTACGATGAAACAGACAGACATAGGAACATGAATGTAGTCTTAATTATAACTTACAGGCTGGTGTTGAGCAATCCCGTGTATTGTGATATAGCCGGTGGAAGTGCTTACTACATTCAGCTGAAAATGTGACTGGACCTGTTTGATAGGGTAAAATAATTAATCAGATACAAAGCACAGCATTCACAGGGCTGCTGTAAGTTAACTCACATCAGTAAAGTGATCTTTGTTTTATGGCTTATGTTTTCTTCAGTAAATCAGTGGCACACAAGTTTCTTATAGTTAACTTAGATCCCATTGATTTCAGTGTTCCTATTCCAAGTATCACAAAATCTGGATTCATCTCAATGACTTGGTTCACACCACATGTTAAACTATACTCAAGGGTTGAGTATGGGTTCAGTATGGCTTGTCTTTAAACTGTGGGTTGTTATAGAAATGTAGGTTATTGTCTGAACCCAGCCATGTTAATAAACCATTGTTCATTAACTCCAAATAACCCAACAATAAACCAAGTAGGTTCACATGACACATGGATTCACATGTAAGCCTTTCATGCATACAAAGCATGCACTGTGGCTTTCCTGCCCCAAAGTCTATGATGGGCATGATTATTTGTCATGTTTCCCCTCTGTGGGAATTCATCCCTGCCTCGCCGCATTCATGCTGTAGCTAGGCAAGCTACGCTCAGCCAATAGTATTGTAATTTACCAGCCAATAGTATTGCAACTTACCCAGCCAATTGCATTGTACTTCACCTGTGTAACCATATAAGGCTTGTGACCATATATAGCAATAAGTGCGCTTCCTGTTTCCTGCGCCTGCGCATAAGCAATCAGTAAGCATTTTGAATCCTGCGCTTGCGCACAATGATTAGGGAGTTGGCTGATTAACTCGATGGCGATTGGTGTAGGCAAATACAAATGTAACAATCTGTGAATTAATAAAAAGGGGCTGCCGGTGGTGAGGGAGGAGGACATCTTTAAGAGGACATCTTTAAGAGGACATTTTAGGAAGAATTCCTAAAGAAGAACTTCTTTGTTCTCCGGAGTACTCAACCGAGCATGCTTTGAAACTTTATCTCTCGTCTGCAGTGTTTTATTTCTCTCTCTGAACTCTCTCGCGCCGATTGTCGGAGCAGGCACTCCGACACCCCTCTCCTCCTTAGTCAGACCTCCTGCTGGTATCCCAGGGGACATCACAGAGCACTATACACCCACCCAGAGAGAGAGGGGGAGAGAGAGAGAGAGAGAGAAGGGGAAAGTGGGCATTAAGCCCTCTTCTGCAATCTCAGTGGGGGCATCCACTAGGGTGCCAGTTCCCACCCATTAAAAATGAGTTTAATCAGATTACAAATAGGTATGCATCTTATAGCTTGTTCCTCCAAACCTTCTCTGTTTGTTCAAATGTGGCAGGTAGTGGACAAGGATTGGCCAGAGGTAGATGGCTGCTGGCCCTTACCAAGAGTCCCCTACCTTTTAGTCCCCTAGCAGAGTTGTTAGATGAGCATTTCTTCCCCTCACCCCACTTTTTAAGTACTTGCCAAATTTGACAGGTTAGGGCAGGACACCTACTTAAAGTGAGATGGGACTTTGTAGAAAGGGGGCTTCTTCTACCTGCTCTGCAGTATGATCCAGTTCTGAGGGGAGCTCAAGTGTCCCTACTTGGCCTCCAGTTTTGCAAGTGTCACCCCACTGCTAGCATGGAGAGATCCTGCAAAGCTGGAAAGGAATCACAGTTTACAGACAGCAGAGCTTTATTTCACATGTGTTAAATGAATTTATGCCCCACATGCTCAGATTCCCCTACATTTTGCTCTTCCCCATGGTGCTAGGAACTTGAGATCAATGCCAAAACAGAGGACATCCAAGGAACTTATTTCCACCTTCCCTTCAGAAAAACTAGATTGGAGTGGGTAGATGGTACACCCTTTCTAGCTGGATCTTTTTTTGGGGGGGGGGGGAATCTTGTTCCCTCTGGGTTGTCACACATAGTAATGTGAGGGCAACCCACTAACCAATCACTCAGAGGGACAAGCAATTCTGCCACTGTGGCCAAGCAGCTCTGTAGGTTTTGGATGTCCATGCCCCAGGTCACCCAGAGGTTCAAGCAAACCCTACAACAATCCATACCTTTTGAGAGGCTTATAAGCACATAGCACCAGATTTGGAAAACATGTGAGATCATTGTGGTTTCATAGCCATAGTGGTTTAGTGAGTTCTGCAATCTCAAATACCATTGGTTGATTCAATGTTATCAAACAAAGGTTGTTACCGTGGCTGGGGTTGGACCACACACTTTTCACCAACTACCCACAGCACAGTGATAACCCACACTCAACCCTCAGGCATTTGTTATAATTCTGTGTGAACCCAGTCAATATTTTTCTAAGAAAACTATAACCTCACATGTACAATTCCAGTACAGTCTTCTGACAGAGTTATACATAACTTCACTATTCCAACTTTTTAAAAAGTATTGGAATAATTAAAAAGAAGAGAAGAGCAAATGATGACATAAAATGTAAAGGATTACATCAAATTTCAAAGCAATTCATACTGACTCTTCTACTCCACTGATTTTCCCCGCAAATCTATTGGCAGATGTTTAGGAAAGATCACTAGATTAGGGGTATGTAACTTTTACCACACTGGTGCTGAGTGATGGGTTAGGAGCTACACATGAGTGTGGACACAAATGCATGCACTTAAACATACATTCCTGCATAGAGAAATTAAAGACACTGTCCACTCCACAGTAATCCTGAAGCAAATCACTGGTGTAAGCAATGAGGGTAGAATCACCATTGCATCAAGCTGAATGGCAAGGTAAAGTCTGGGTTCCCTTCCAGTGTGACAAAGGCACACATATTCTCTCCAGTAGGTGACAGTATCTAGAAAGAGGTTAGCCCCCCCCCCAAAAAAAAGGGAAAAAAGAAGTTCACACACATTGTTCTTACCTGTAAAGTGTTTAATGAACTTGTCTTTTAAATTGGAGTCTCTTGGAAATACTTCTGTGAAAAAATAAATATTTAATTAAGAAAATGTTTAAATTTGTGCACTTATAAAGTAGTTATAAATCTGTTTTATTAGTAAGACATTGCATTTTTCCACAAGCTAGGTGACATGAATAGCAACTGAAAATAGATTCCAAGAACAGTATTTGTACAAGTAAAACATATTTAGAAAAAATAATTTTGGGGACCCTTTAAATATTAGTTTAAATATTCCTGCTGCCCCTCGTAAGTAGGCATGGAACAACAAGGTTATGACAGCAGCAGTAATCCCATGCAGGAAGGCAACTGGTAAGAGGCAAGTTTAGTTTAACTTCAAAGTGGTATCTGGGTACATTTTGTTGTTGTTCGTTGTTGTTAGTCGCGAAGTTGTGTCTGACCCATCGCGATCCCATGGACAACATTCCTCCAGGCCTTCCTGTCTTCCACCATCCCCCGGAGTCCACTTAAGCTCACACCAACTGCTTCAGGGACTCCATCTAGCCACCTCATTCTCTGCCATCCCCTTCTTCTTTTGCCACCTATTGTTCCCAGCATTAGGCTCTTCTCCAGGGAGTCCTTCCTTCTCATTAGGTGGCCAAAGTATTTGAGTTTCATCTCATCTTCAGGATCTAGCCTTCTAAAGAGCAGTCAGGGTTGATCTCCTCTAGGACTGACCAGTTTGATCGCCTTGTGGTCCAGGGAACTCACAGGAGTCACCTCCAACACCACAATTCAAAGGCCTCAATCCTTCGGCACTCAGCCTTCCTTATGGTCCAGCTTTCACAGCCATACGTTGCAACTGGGAAAACCATAGCCTTGACTATACGCACTTTTGTTGGCAGGGTGATGTCTCTGCTTTTTAGTATGCTGTCTAGATTTGCCATAGCTTTTCTCCCCAGGAGCAAGCATCTGTTAATTTCTTGGCTTCAGTTCCCATCTGCGGTGATCTTGGAGCCCAGGAAAATAAAATCTGTCACTATCTCCATTTCTTCCCCATCTATTTGCCAGGAAGTGAGAGGACTGGATGCTAATGATCTTAGTTTTCTTAATGTTAAGTTTCAAGCCAACTTTTGCACTCTCCTCCTTCACCCGCATCAAGAGGCTCTTTAGTTCCTCTTCACTTTCTGCCATTAGAGTGGTATCATCTGCATATCTGAGGTTATTGATATTTCTCCCAGCAATCTTAATTCCAACTGGTGATTCATCTAACCCCACCTTTCTCATGATGTGCTCTGCATATAAGTTAAATAGGCAGGGCAACAGTATACAGCCTTGCTGAACTCCTTTCTCAATTTTGAACCAATCAGTGGTTCCATGTCCAGTTCTCACTGTTGCTTCTTGACCCACATATAGGTTTCTCAAGAGACAAATAAGATGGTCTGGTACTCCCATCTCTTTAAGAACTTGCCACAATTTGTTGTGATCCACACAATCAAAGGCTTTAGCATAGTCAATGAAGCAGAAGTAGATGTTTTTCTGGAACTCCCTAGCTTTCTCCATGATCCAGCATATGTTGGCAATTTGATCTCTAGTTCCTCTCCCTCTTCGAAATCCTGCCTGTACTTCTGGTAGTTCTCAGTCCACATACTTCTGGAGCCTAGCTTGTAGGATTTGGGGCATAACTTTGCTAGCATGTGAAATGAGTGCAATGGTGTGGTAGTTTGAACATTCTTTGTCATTGCCCTTCTTTGGGATTGGAATGTAAACTGACCTTTTCCAATCCTGTGGCCACTGTTGAGTTTTCCAAATTTGCTGGCATATTGTGTGTAGCACTTTTACTGCATCATCTTTTAAGATTTTGAATAGCTCAGCTGGAATACTGTCACCTGCACTAGCTTTGTTGTTGCTCAGACTTCCTAAGGCCCATTTGACTTCACATTCCAGGATGTCTGGCTTGAGGTCAGTGACCACCCCATTGTGGTTATCAGGAACGTTAAGCTCTTTCTTGTATAGTTCTTCTGTGTAATCTTGCTACCTCTTCTTAATCTCTTCTGCCTCTGTTAGGTCCCTGCCATTTTGGTCCTTTATCATGCCCATCTTTGCATGAAACGTTCCCTTCATATCTCCAATTTTCTTCAAGAGATCTCTGGTCCTCCCTATTCTACTGTTTTTTATTTATTTTTTATTTATTAAAACATTTTTATGCCGCCCCATTCGCCGAAGCCTTGGGGCGGCTTACAACAATAAATAAAACCAATAAGTTAAAATATACATATAAAATAATCATAATAATTTAAAACACACATTATAAAATAAGCCGCCCTGGCCAGATAAAATTCAGTGGTATTAACATTTAAAATGTTGCTTAAATAAAAAGGTCTTTGCCTGGCGCCGAAAAACAAATAACGACGCCTTCTTCTATTTCTTTGCACTGTTCATTTAAGAAGGCATTCTTCTAACTATTCTCTGGAATTCTGCATTCAATTGGGTGTATCTTTCTCTTTCTCCCTTGCCTTTCGCTTCTTTCCTCAGCTATTTGTACAGCTTCCTCAGACAACCATTTTGCTTTCTTGCATTTCTTTTTCTTTGGAATGGTTTTATTTGCTGGATAAGGTAGTGGACATCATTTAGATAAGGACATCATTTTTGGTGTTAATTCTAGAAGGTGTTGCAGGCCTTCATAGAACCAGTCAACTTCAGCCTCTTCAGTACCAGTCTGATATCTATGTAGCTGGAATTTGGTTCCTGAAACTTAAGCCAGTTATTCCATATTCTGCACTCTGGGGTGATTGAGGAGAGATCATGGTCCTCTGTGACAGTTTTTCAAGTATTTAAAAAGGTTATCGTACCTCCCTTTGATTTTCTCTTAAGGCTAAACATGCCTGGCTCTTTCAATTTCTCCTCATAGGGCTTTATTTTCAGTCCCTCGATCATCTTTGTTGCCCTCCTCTGAACTTTTTCTAGTTTGTCTGTAGAAGTGTGAATATCTGTGATATAAAATTGTGTTCAAAGAGAGAGTGTGCTACTGATAATGATCCAGAAAGAAGACAAAACAAGTAGATGTTAGAACAGACCTGGGCATTGTATGGCCCGCAGGCCACATCCGGCCCAATGGCTGACCCTGACTGGCCCACATGAGGTCACTGACAAATTAAAAGCCAATGCAAATATATATCATCGTAATATAGATGCAAGCAATACAACTGCACTGCTTTTATTTTGAAGGATCTGCTAAATTGAATTGAATTTATTGCTTTTCATGTAATGTTAATGTTTTTGTGAATATTTATTAAATAGTGTTGTTCTGTGAGCCACATTTTCATTGTATCATTGTAATGTTTCATTTACTGTTTTTATAGAGATATATATTGAGCAGAGCTGTAAGTGCATTGGTCCGGCCCTTAACAACTGTCAAAGTTTCTCATGTAGCCCCATAGGAAAATTAATTGCCCACCCCTGTGTTAGAAGATGACTTTTTTTCCCAAAAGGTGGGGGAAGAGGGAATTGTTGGAGAAGAAATATAAATATAGGATTACACAGAAAACTTCCGTGTATGTAGCTGTAGGAGAACTGTAATATTGTAATGCTATTGCTCTGTTCTGCTGGTTTGCTTTTCTTCAATCTATTTGGCCCATTTCATGCAGCATCTGACAATATTGTAGTATGAAAGTAGTGCAAATACTGAATGATGTGCTGCATGAAGAAGTACTTCATTTCGCTATCTGGAATTTACTTACCAATACTTCATAGGCATATAATTGCATTTTAGTATTAGAAAGGAGAAATATTTTTGTTCAGTCTTTTCTTCTCTTAATTGTAATTAAATTCTGTGTTGCTCATTAGGTGTTAGGGGTCCCATACACTTTAGCTTTCCTGGTATGGAAAATGTCGTCATCCTTTGGGGTAGAATAACATATAAATAACACTTGCTAAGAGTTGAGTCAGTGCCAAGTAGACATTAAATGTACTCTTAAATAGGGTTCTATTTGCATTCAGGGAAGTGTAAATAAAGCCCCTTTAGACCGTCCTCCCTATTCATCATAGAGAGTGGGATCTTACATGGTGAGACAAGGACAGCAGAGCTGATATGCCAGTCCTGTGCCTCTCACATGCATTCCTGTTCCCTATTCAGGCATAATACCCGAATAGCTCTCCTTATTGGTGTAATTGGGACATTCCCCACATTAAATATAATTTAAAGTCTTTTCCTACCTACTGTGATCCAAGTAATTATCAACCTCAACAGTTCTTTGCATTTTGAAAAATATGTACACTAACTACAATGGGGCATTTAACAGATTAATATTTAATCTGGCCACCAGTTTTATTACCTTGACAGCAAAAGCTGGGCAGTGAAATTAGGAAGACTCTTCTCTTGTTCTCTTGTTAATATATTCTAGAGATGTGTATTGTGGTGCTGATGAGACAGCTCATGGCATTCTAAGATTGGTTTAGAGAGGGGGGAGAAACAGCCGAGGAACTACTGCATGGAAGATGGAGCAGCTTAGTGCATGATTTTCATTTGCCTAAACAGCTACTCTACATTTAAGTAGAAAGTGCACAAATCCTAAAGCTCTTTTTAAAAAAAATTAAATGAATGGAGGGCACAGGAGCAAGTAATCACTAGCAATCAATGGCTTGGGTAATTTGCAGGATGCCCCAGCAATGTGGTGATTGTGGACCACGTACCATTTAAGAGGACAACAGAAGCGTATGTGGGTATGGATGCATGTGCAGAAGAGAAGCAATACATTTTCCAAGTAACAACATATTGCAACTTGATTCTGTAATCAGGGAAGTAGACTATTTTTAAGATAAATATTTTGATCCCCCATAGAAAGTTATTGTATGGTTTGTGTTGCTGTGAATAAAACTTAAGTAAACCATCCATTCATCACAGTGCCAGCAGAAGGAAAATACTATTTCACCCACCTTTATTTAGGGGAGTGAGTTATTTAGACATTCCCAAGCCACTGAGCACAAATGTGCCAATGAACATATGAAAATCAATTATGAATGCCAAATCCAAGTTACACTGCCAGAACCACACATTCCAAAATTCCATTTCCAAATCTCCA